TTTCTCAACCTAACCCCAAACTGGTATTTCATCGACAATCTCGATCCGAATCCCGAACACCAACAAGACCAAATAACAAATAAACAGTACACTTGATGAATAATACGTGAATGGGATAGGGCTAATTTCAATATTTTACGTATGACATTAGCGATCCGCGTAGCTCTCCTTGTATAGGAAACGGAAAAATGCTTCCGCATCCCATCCTCGTATAGCATCGCATCGCTCCGAGACATACACACTGACTATCTAGACTGCTAGGGGGGGTCTTATGCTATAATTGAAAATTAGGCAACTTTGTTGACGATTCTCGAGTTTATTGGCCACAAGGGTGAGTACAATTCGGGGTGCTCTACAACTATTAGCACTATCAGCAATAACCTTTCTTGGGAAAATGACGTGAGATCAATTGCTGAAAGTGCATCTCAAAAACTTGGTTTCCTGTTTCGGGCCAGGAGCTATTTCACTTCCAGTCAGCTGCTTATGATCTATAAGGCACATATCCGACCTGTCCTGGAATACTGTTCCCATATTTGGAGTGCAGCACCCGAACATACCCTTTAACTGTTGGAGTCTGTCCAAAACATATTTCATAGATATTTTCATGGACGATGCTCTTCTGGAATATCAACAATTGTTCCTCCCTCGGCAGTCCCCGCCAGATAAACCCTTTGAGTTGTGGCTTCACACCCCTTCGTGGTCACTTTGGAGACCTGCAGAACATCTTTTTCCAAACACTCGTTCATCCAACCAACAGCGAGACTCTGGAACACATTGCCAAGGGAGCTGTTCCCGGAGGCATATAACCTCCAGAAATTCGAGAAGAACACCAATTCCTACCTTTTTTTCCTTGGTTCTCACGATGTTCTCTGAACAATACAGGATATCCCTTCGCGTGGAAACCAGAACATAAAAAAAGTCATGCTAAACGTTGAGACGACGTTGTTCGGTGGTTTAGAGAGCGTCTTTTAATGAATTACTAATTTCAACACCAAGTACAACGTTAGTTTTGGTGTATCATGTGGTTGTCGTCGCCAAATTGCTACTTGGGCAGGCTAAGATTCCGGAACATAAATCTACGATGTGATCAAAATTTCATAAGAATCGGACAAGGATTAAAAAAGTTACATGGTGAACAATTCTGGCAATTTTTTTGGTGGCCGGTTTCTTCCACCGGTGAGTGTAGAATTGGCGGTCTAGATTAATTCATAAGTCGTTGGACCCACCAAGCCAGAACCGTCCAGCATTCGGTCCGGCGTCGGAAGTTATGGACGCCGGGTCACGAGACGCCCTCGGCGCCGATACGACGACACAATGCCTTTTCCAGACATACCGGAGGGCGGAAAGCCGAATGCACCGCGGGGGTGAAGGGAATAGAGAGCAGTATTTTTCATTTAGGATTCTGCCGAATGCGCCGTAATTCGTATTATTTTGTCTTTGTTTAGGGCCTTCGGATGTTCGGCGAACAAAAGCGCGATTCTGTTTTTTTTTGTCCTCTTTCGCCCGATTTTACATTGATGGGTTATATCGAGGGTTATAATTGATGAAGACATAGATTCCACCACTAACCTGAGAAATCATCAATATTCAAGGATTTCCTCTAATGATGAGGAGTAACCCTTTTCAAACCATGTAAATAACAATAAATTAGAAATAATAATAAAGAAATTTAACCTAGGTATACATCTAGGGTGAATATAAAACTGTCAATATTGTCAATGATACCTATACATACATGCAATATACACACATTGACATATAGGCTATATATTTAGATCTATGGTACTGGTCAGTAAATCCACTGACTCTGCTGAAAATCTTTGTTCCAACTTTCCATTGTTTTCATTAGTAATCAGCAGCAGCAGTTGATCAGCTGGTGAAATTTGAATATAATTCTAAAGGTGAGTTCCCAATGCAGCTTTTTTGTTTTTCGCGTGACGCGTCACGCAGTCTGATTGGTGACGTGTAATTGAGAATTGCTGCACTGTTTTTATTATTTTCGTTAGTTCCCAATGAAATTACCTATCATTGTCACTTTGATTGAAGTTTGTATTGAAAAACATGAGAATAGTATCCGATGAGAATACTGAAAATATATCGGATATTGCTCGCAAGATATACAGAGCTGCATGAGATAAGTAATTTATCATAAAACGAGAATAACACAGTGAAAATGAGATGATTAGGTATCGGTACTTAAGTGATATTGCAATGATTTGCTATCCATGAGATTACTCAGAAATGAAGATTAATGAAGTTGCATTCAAAATTTCTACATTTTCATGAAAAATCTCATGTTGAAAGAATTGATATAATGAATATTAAGGTTTTCTGAACATAACCTGAACTCAACCCAAAGCAGCAACGCCAAAAACTTAAAATATTTCCACTTCATTGTGTCAAATATTTTTCAAATTCAGCGTTACCAATCAGGATGCATGACGTGCGACGCGTAAGGCAAAAACGCTGCCTTGGGAACTCACCTCAATAAGTGTCGATTATTTCAATAATAGACATATCGGGTCGATTCTGTTCGGATCTTGTTATAACATTGCTAAGATAATAATATTGTTATGATCATAACATATAACAATATTGGTATGAAGTTCTGTATTCTGTTTGCAGAGTAACTGCTGCAAGACTGGTTATAAATTCAAGTGATAGCAATATTGTTGAAGAATTGAGAATTTTTGAGCTGACAACACTGTTTTCAACTCATTGTTTGAGCAATGACGGCTAAATGGACTGTCAGACAGTCCATTTAGCCGTCATTGGTTTGAGTGTTAGGTATCGATTTTGCCATTATTTCGTGAAGAAGAAGAGTTCATGATCATCTAACCTCTCAAATTAGTCAGTCCTGCACTGACATATTTTACAAAATTATATTTTTAAAATCGAGAGATTTTGTATCAGCTGAATCTGGTCGTCGTTGTGCGACTGGTGCAAGTAATCAATAATGTACCCGAAATGAGAAAACAACTAAAAGCCGGATGAAACAAATCGTGATTTTTTTTTAATATTCTAGCAAAATAGCTTGATAAACTATCCATCAGGCAACTGAAATTTCTCTGATATGCCGAAATTGAAGTCTCATATTTCCTCTCCAAATTGGAACTTCAAGAAAAGGTTTTCAAGTAGTTGGTCACAGTAGTAAAAACAGGTTATAAAAAACAACGAATGTCAAAATCTAGTGTTTATCCCCAGAATTGAATAAGGATGGAACTATATAACTGTTTCACGAACACTTTAGAGTGAGAGGAGACGAGGATCTGTCCGTACCCTGTTTAGATGACTTTAACGTCAATTTCCATCAAGGGACCCTAGTCACCCTAGTTATACCTATATATAATAGTTATAGAACAGCAGTAATCATGCACTTCCATGAATTGTTTAATCTAAATTCATCATCCAAGCTGATGATAAACCTAGGTTCGGAGCATTTGTCCTAAAATCGATTAGATTTTTATCAAATTATTATGAAGAAGACTGGGAGTTTTAGTACCTACTACTTACTTCACAGATATAATTCCTAAATGCGTACCACTGATGTGTAGTCATAAATAATATGAATTCAAAGAAAAGTATTATCTAGGTACCAATATATCCGTCCTCCTTGCTCTTGTTTCCATAAAAAATAGTGTCACCTCTGCATTAACTTTGAATCACAAAGAATATGTATATGTGAATTAACAAGAGAATAATGTACTTCACAATCATTTAATGGATGTCTCCGCGAAAAAATAAACACAGATTGATAGGTGACCTTACTGCCAGATTAACCAGCGCCATCTGTTAGATGCTTTCCAGACTATCGAGCATTCATTGTAACGCCGGCGGATATTGAGCCATATCCTCTACGTTCTGCTCGTTCCTTGGCAACAGCTCGGAACGGTTGATAACATTTGACAATGACAATTAACTTTGACGTTGCCAACCTCTTGCCAACGTAACCAACGCCAGCGTTGCCAAACTTACTGTTTTAACAGTAGATCTACTGTTTTCGTCTCTGTACTGGAAAATGGCAAAATTTTACACCAGCGGTCGTAGAAATCAGTTGATGAAGTGTGGTTTTCAGATGAAGAGTATTGTTTGTTTTGGTGACTTTTCAATAGTATTCTTGAACTGGACCAATTTTGCTCTTGATTTAATATGTTTGCCTCCTTCTTCAGAAACCATGCATTGAGAGATTGTTTTCTCAATTAAATTTTCTGAAGTTGAAGCAGCTTCATGAATTAGGTACAGCCAGCATTGTAGGATTTCTATTTACCAAAGATAATTTATTTACAACAAGGAAATGGTCTGAATGGTCATGTTTTGATATGGCATATACCTAATAATCCTAATATATAACAATAAAGAATCAATGGAGCATTACAGTAAGGAGATGTATGATGAAATTATACTTGAATTATCAGATTCAATCTGGTCAATAAATATATATAAGCTTTTATTTTCGATTTTTACGAATTTTACTATTCCATTATTTGTTGTTATTCTTTGTTTGATTTTCAATAGATAGAAGAGCCAAATTATTGAAATCAACCGTTCATCAGTTTTGATGTTTTTTCGTCACCAATCTACTGCTCCGGCAAATTTTCATCTGGCAACACTGTTGACAATGACAATTAAAAAGTTTGACGTTGCCCACAACGTAACCAACGTTGCTGGTTGCTCACACATTGTAAACAAGGTAAACGTCAAATTTTAAAAATGAACATTCCATATTATAATGATGAACCGGTATTGTTTACGTGTTTAGTTGGCATCACCATGTTCTTATCCTCATGAATATGAATTAAATATATTCTTCATAACCAAAAAGTGTACCTGGTATAGATCAAATCTGCACAGAAATAAAAATTTGTAAGTAGGGAAGACCCATGAAGCAAACATATTCCTGAATGCATGTATTTTCATAATTTCAGACTACCTACTCAACTTAAAAATAACTTTCTCTTGTGAATGCTGATGAAGGAACAATATTTCAGTTGATAGTGAAGATGGCAGCCAGTTTACTCCTTGGTAGAAAATCTAGAAATATCAGGATTATTGCCTTATTTTGCTTAATATTCCTAATCTTGTACTTCATGATCACTTATGACAAAGTACCTAAGTATGACAGCCCGAGATCTGCTAAGCTCCTGGTAAGCAAAGAGAGACCCAAGCTAGTAAGTGGATTAGGTAACTTCGAACCAAAAGAAATAGAGGACAGAGATGGCCCAGGAGAAAAAGGTGAGCCCTATCACTTGAAACAAGAGCAGCAAAATGATGCTGATCAGTCTGAATCAGAGTATGGCATGAATGTGGCTTGTTCAGATGAAATATCCCTGGACAGGACCATCTTGGACACACGTCTAGAAGAGTGCAAGCACTGGGACTACCCAGTCAACCTACCCACCACTAGTGTCATCATAGTTTTTCACAATGAAGGATGGTCTGTGCTACTGAGGACAGTACATTCAGTTCTGAACAGATCACCTAAGCATATGTTGAAGGAAATTTTGTTGGTTGATGATTTCAGTGACAAAGATAACTTGAAGTCAAAGTTGGAAGATTACATTGAGCAGTTCAATGGAAAAGTGAGACTGATCAGAAATCATCAGAGAGAAGGATTGATAAGAACTAGGTCGAGAGGAGCTCAAGAGGCCACTGGGGATGTTATTGTTTTCTTAGGTGAGTTGTTTTATAAGAATATGATTTATTGCTCTAAGGATAATTACAATTCCGATCTCATATCAACAGTTCTACTACTATTTACTTGTCAAAAGCATCCAGATTTGGTTTTCCAAATCAATAGTAATCACCACAACCATACAACTAGACAAGCAGATCATTTTTCTATCAAGAAAATCAAATCAGATATTGGTAAAAAATCCATATATCACAATGGAATGATACAATACAATTCACTACCAAATAACTTGAAGCTGATTTATAGGATTGAAAAATTTAAAAAGGAATTCAAGAAACATCTAATATTGACATCTTATCTCATTTTTATAGTTTACTTGTACAACTATAGTTACCTAACAGCTGAGTCAATTGAGAATCATTTTCAGTTGAACTTAAAAAAAAATAGTTATTTATTATACAAGGGAAAAAAGTAGTAGATTTTAGCTTCAGGTTGTGTTGTCTCCCGACGCATAGGGGAGGGAGACAAAAAACCGTGAGCTAAAATCTAATATTTTTCCCGTGTATAATACACTATTTTTTTCTGTGACAGAAGGAAGGACGAATCAATATTGAGAAGATATTACATTATTTCGAAATCTGAAAATTATCGACATGAAATCTCAAGTTTTTAACAGTAGGGACACCTGTGTTTTATAGGCATCTTTATCATTTTTTTGAAGTAATCAAATATCTGTTGTCACTTCTGTCAGTTCAATTCTGTGATTTGATTTTGAAAAATTGCGAATTCAATAGTTGTTTAGTAATATAGGAAACCGCGAAGTCGAATGAAAGATAAAAGGACTTGCAGTTCTTTCTGGGAGACGGTATTATTGACTCATTTTTCGGAACTACAGCACAACAAAAGCCATCATCAGAGTATATATATGTGATATATATCTGGGAAAAAAGTACTCACTTTTTCCCACGGGAAAAAAGTAATTTATGAAAAGTGACATTTCATAACCTGCCAACAGAGATGAAATGCCAAACTTTTTTCCCGTCACAGAAAAAAAAGATTTTTTCTTGAGTGTGAGTCTTATTTTACTGTCTTCTTCATTTTATCTCGCCAAATATATTTATATATTCACCATGTTTCCTGCTATAAACAAATGTTGTTTCTTGGGAATAATAAAGTTGATTGATCGATTGAGTATAAGTTGAAACATTTTATTTTGCTCCACTTTATGTTGAGTGAGATGTTGAGTATATTTCATGCAGTCAATCCCCAAAACAATCTGGAGTCACTCTTTTTCAGTATTTTTAAAATATATTCTCAATCAATGATGAATTATTCTCATCCCACCATTGTTGTTTCATTCAACCATATTGTTGATTTCAATTCTTGACACTGCCAGTTTATAAAAAGGAAAGAAGATAAATAAACTATAGATAATCATATTTATCATAGAACAGGTATAATATTTGATTTTTTGAGTATATGTAAAGGTATCTGTTTGCAATGGTTTTTATATTATTATTGTTGACTTTCCTCTGTGTGTTATCTTGTTTTCCAGTGATTTTAGTCCAGACCAGTAATACTGTAAACTGATGAAAACAAAGTCTGTCAAGAGGTCTGCCCCTAAAGTCGAATCATTTAATTATCTGAATATTTGATGCTAGTGGCATTGAAATACAAACCCTCCTCATTTTGTATGATTATCTCTTTGTTTTATTAAGAAAAACCAGGTTCCCAACTGATATAGATATAATTTTGAAATTCACTCCTTCTCATACAAATGATAGCCTAGTAATAACCAGTTTTTGATTTATTTTATGTTAATATTGTTAAAAAGTCATTGGTTAGTTGTTCAATTATGTGGATTGCTGTTGGCAAAAAGCATAATACATATGGAAATTAAATGGTGATAAAACCAATATATTTATTTACATAACATGAATATTAATGCAACAGTATTAAATATGAAAAATGTCTTATTATGTGCAGATTAAGACTGACCAAAGTATTTCTAAATTGGTACAATATGATATCTTGGAATGTCAAGTGGAAAGTGGAAACATTTATATTCCTCAAGATATTGCCAAACTAACTTTCTCTAGTAAAAAATCCTCGAAAAAATCCAAACTTTAGTTCATACAATTTTATTTATTTCCTCGTTTATTTCATTGGAAATATAATAAACTGAGGAACAATATAATATTTCATTGAGTATCAAATGTATTTCCTTCAGAAATGATTACATTCTTCTTCTTGAGTTCATATTTGAATTTGATTAAATTTTTTTCTTCAAATTTTGACGTACATAATTTATTTCATTCAAATAAGGAGCATCAATGAATTTTTTTGTCCTATTCCAGAGATAACAACATCAAGGTGAAATTAATAATATTTTATAGTTTGTTGGTCATGAATTGCATAGTTTCTTTGTAAATCACAATTCAATTTAAATCTCTTATTTTTGATATCATGAAATTTTCATCCTTTCAATTTCGAACATTTCATCTATTGAAAATGTTTGGTGAACAAAACAGTAATTTCAATGAATTTTATGTAAAATGCATAAGCAGATATTTTATTAAAAATATTTTTTGACAGCTGGCCCACATGGGTTCTATTTGAAAAAAATGAATTTTTCATCAAAATGCGATGTGACTGAAATGATTCATGAATAAGTGACACAAAAAATAATTTTTCAGAAAAAAATTTGTGTCACTAGTATGTGGGACTTAATGTGAATTGCGTTGATCACATCTCATTTATCCATGAGGTAAAATAAAAACACTATTTCAGTTTCGAATTTTTTCGAAAAAATGACATTTGACATAAATATTGTACTTGGTCTGACCTGTTGAACTAGAACATGTAAAAATATCCAGCGTTCGATTCCAAAAAAGAAAGATGCCAGCATTTCTGGAAAAACAGGAAGTCTACCATATTGAATTGTATTATGACCAAAATGTACAAAATAGAATCGTGAGATTTCTGAATTTCAAAATAAACGAACCTACAACATAGAAGAATATTAATCTAATTCGGCAGTCGTTTGGTATTTTCAAGGTATTTTGGAACTTGAAAAACGAAAAATAATTATTGACTTAGTAGTTTCAACAGTTCAACAAATATTGTAGTATTGATATTCACTGTATATCTTTATTCACCTTCGAACAAAAAGTAAAAAAAAAAATTTTTTTCTGTGACGGGAAAATAGTTTGGCATTTCATCTCTGTTGGCAGTTTATAAAATGTCACTTTTCATAAATTACTTTTTTCCCGTTAGCTAACAGAGATTCATTCCTTGAAGTACTACTTTACGCCCGCAAATCTGGGCGATAGAGTGCACTTTACCGCCCGCCAGTGCATAAATTATTATTGTGTTGTTGTTACAAGACGCTCACTGCGAAGTGAACACCAACTGGCTGCCGCCCCTTTTGGCCCCCATCTACTACGATCGCACCACTATGACCGTCCCCGTCATAGACGGCATCGACCACAAGACCTTCGAGTATCGCCCTGTATACGGCGACGACCGACACTTCCGTGGTATCTTCGAGTGGGGCATGTTGTACAAGGAGAACGAGGTGCCCCAACGGGAACTGAGCACCAGGAAGCACCACAGCGAACCCTACAAGAGCCCCACGCATGCCGGAGGGTTGTTCGCTATGGATAGGCGGTATTTCTTGGAGTTGGGAGCTTATGATCCAGGTTAGATGATCGCTTTCACTGTTTTATCCTTCATTTGAGTCATATACAGGGTTTCTGTAAAAGGTTGGGATTTGGCTCAGCTGTTGACTCCTGAGATAAAACAAGTTGATTTAGGCCAACTTACCTATATCCAAAATCGTCTCGTTGAGTTGGTACAAGGCGTTGAAGTTTTTTTGGAAAAAAATAGTTTTGCTCATAAAAAGAGAAGGCTGAGATCGATTTTTATAAGTCACGTTTTGAGATGTTTATGATCATCATCAGTGACCTGCAAGTATTTCAAACAACCATGTTGCCGTACAAATTTAGTGATAACTTATCAGAGGTCGGGCTGGAAACTTCCAGTTTTTTTTCCAGAAAGATGTTTCCTTCAGAAATATTTTTTGTATGGTGTTAATTTTTGATAAGTCTCGAGGTTCATTTGCAAATAAATTATTTCTGACCTGCGGCATCTCATGCATTTCTTAGAAAAATAATCTGGTTGGGACATGGCTTGACTGTAGACTCCTGGGATAAAAATAAGTTGATTTTAGCCAACTTACCTATATCCAAAATCGTTTCGTTGAATTTTTAACGCGAGATTTCTTGTGAAGCCCGCGAGGACCAGCAACATATCAATTTATTTACAATAAGAATATATTGTAGCCATGATCAATAAACAGTCCGGCTAATTGAATTGATTTTCAAAAATGTGCAGGATGCATCATATCAGAAATTATTTATTTGCAAATGATCCTCGAGACCTATCAAAAATTAACAGGATACAAAAAATATTTCTGAAGGGAATATCTTTCTGGAATAAAAAACTGGAAGTTTCCAGTCTGACCTCTGGAAAGTTATCACCAAATTTGTACAACATTTTTAGGATTCCACCTGCAAGCCTGTTAAGTATCAGAAGTGTGAAGTAGCCCATTTTGTCTATCTTCTTATTTATACTTTCAACAGACAGACAAGAACTTGAGAACTGAACAATGTGATTTAAGAAAATATCAATTCTTCCATACTTTTTTTGAATTGACTCGGCCGTTTACTTGATGGAAATCCATGGCAAATGTAAAAAACTTCACACTTCACTTCTTATCGTTTGTGAAGTTTTTACATTCTTCTACACTTTATTCCAGATAAGAATGAATTAGATATATGCCTGGTATGTAAGCTATCATATCTGAAAAAATAAAACTTGTTAGTAATAAGTTTCATGTGAAATCAATTTTGGAATATACCATAGGTCTTCTCGTGTGAGGCGGCGAGAACTTCGATATCAGCTTCAAGATCTGGCAGTGCGGCAGCAGCATCGAGTCCCACAAAGGATACATAGCAGAACTCCAGACTAGGTGGAGTAACAGCGAATGCCAAGCATCTGGACCTTCCACATATTGCTGATACGTGTATTTCTTATGTAACAGACTGTTTTTGATAAAGATAGTCGCTCTAAACTGAACTATACGTACCGTAGATATCCTCGTGTGGGTCGGCGATAACTTCGAGCTGAGCTTCAAGATCCAGCAGTGCGGGACAGCATCAAGTGTCATATTTTGTATTGCGTCTCTTTATATCATATAACCATACAAATACAGTCCACTATTTATTGAGCATCGAACATATTGGTCCTTCGAGCTGGATCTATTCGAGTCGAACCCTCAAGACTGACAAGTTCCCCACAAAGGATACATAGCAGAACCTCAGACTACGTGGAGTAACAGCGAATGCCAAGCATCTGGACTGTTCACATATTGCTGATACGTGTATTTCTCATGTATCAGACTGTTTCCAATTAAGATAGCCGATCTATTCTCAACTGAAATCTAGCAGTGCGGCGGCAGCATCAAGTCCCATATTTTGTATTGCGTCTCTTTTTATCATATAACCATACAAATACAGTCCACAGTCTTCTATCTATCAAGCATCGAACATATTGGTCCTTCGAGCTGGATCTATTCGAATCAAACCCTCAAGACTGACAAAGGATACATAGCAGCACTCCAGACTACGTGGAGTAACAGTGAATGCCGAGCATCTGGACCTTCCACATATTGCTGATACGTAACAGACTGTTGCCAATACAAGTCTCATATTTTGTATTGCGTCTCTTCATATTATATAACAATACATATACAGTCCACTATCGAACAAGCATCGAACATATTGGTCCTTCGAGCTTGAGCTAGCAGAATTCCAGACTACGTGGAGTAACAGTGAATGCATGTATCTCTCATGTAACAGACTGTTTTCAATAAAGATAGCCGCTCTATTCTCAACTGAAATATACATACCGTAGGTCTTCTCGTGTGGGGCGGCGAGAACTTCGAGCTGAGCTTCAAGATCTGGCAGTGCGGCGGCAGCATCGAGTGGGTGCCGTGCTCGCGAGTCGGTCACGTGTACCGCAGCTTCATGCCCTACAACTTTGGCAAGCTGGCACAAAAGAAGAAGGGCCCGTTGATCACCATCAACTACAAGCGGGTGATCGAGACGTGGTTCGACGACAAGTACAAGGAGTTCTTCTATACGAGGGAGCCGATGGCGAGGTGAGGTTGCATAAATAAAAACAATAATAATAATCTATAATACATAAAATTCTTCTGTTCCTCTCACGGTGTTGTTGATGTTCTTTTTCCATTTTGCAGGTATTTGGATATGGGAGATATAAGTGAACAACTTGCTTTGAAAGAAAGACTGAACTGTAAAAGTTTCCAGTGGTTCATGGATAACGTGGCCTACGATGTTCTGGAAAAATATCCAGAACTTCCCCCGAATTTGCATTTCGGGGAATTGAGGTGAGTGCCTTCCTGCTTTCCATCTAGTTTTTCAGATGATCAGAAGTATTGCTTTAAGACCGACAAACTTCGAATACGGATTCCTAATCTCAACATATGTCCTGAAATGCATCCTCTCTGTAATGTAATGAAATAATTGAAACTCGGTGTACTATTCCATATTAATCGATGTAATGATATTCAATTTTCATTTTTTATCATCGTAGAGCAGTGGCGTAGTTACATTTCCATTTAGATTTTTTTAACAGACGAATCGTCAAATTGGTGTATAAGATCATTTAGGCTCGTTGATACCTAACCTAAAAGTAATAACATCCCACATGTCTAAATTTAAAGGTTCCTGGGATATTTGCGAATAATTAGAGATTTGACGGCGTAATATTGAATCTACTACCTCTGTCACACTCATTGGGCATATGGAAATTTCGAATGCAAATGTCTTTGTAATCGTTTGAAATATCCCTATCAAACGCAGTATAGTTGAATTTGTTATGATAATAATAATAATAATAATAATAATAATAATAATATAAGTTTATTCAAAAACGTTTACAAAATATACATTGGAATAAACATATAGGTAATTTGAATAAACTGGGAAAAATCTTACGAAGTTAACCTTGTATTAAGGATATAAAATAAATAAATGTACATAGGTCCATAAATATTTAACAATATCAAATTATCACAAGGGAAAATTGTCTCATTAAGAAATGAGACAAGTATTCAATTTATAATATATAGTGTACTGAGCATTTAATTCAATACGCATAATAATTTATATTCATACATACTCATTCACAATTATTATTAAAATGTATCTAATGATATTATTAAATGTTAATTAAAGAAATAAAATAATCTTTAGGGGAGGTTAATATCCAGTTTTTTATTTGTATTGTATAGGATTGTAGTGATTTTGTTGCTGAATCCCGTTAAGGAGCCCATAAACTGCGTTGTTAGTTGGCTATTTTGTTCCTCGAACAAGTATGTTCAAACAAAAATGACGCAAAACCGAAGTGTGTGATGTGTGGCTAGCGAAAACGACCATTTTGCAGACACACAATTCGATTTTGTGGAACAGGCTTGTTCGTCGAACAAAACAGCCTACTTTTCAGGCAAGCATTCATTCCATCGCCTAGCGATGTGATAATAGAGGCAATCAATTAAAATATCAGTTCCGTAGCCACCAACCGACCTACATTTTTAAAGCATGCATTTTCATTCATTTCACTAAAAATAAGAAAAAGCACTCGAATCTTACTTTCAATATCAATTCTGATACTCAATAGCATCACACCAGACATAGTGAACATTTGAAAACTATCAAAATAGAAACCCAATTCGGAAAAAAATCATTGTATTTTTGTGGAATAAATATTTATAATAGTCTACCCAACAGAATAAAATCTATTAGGTTCGTCACAAAATTTGAGTGTGAACTGAAGATATATATTTTATCAATTAAACTCTCTCCTTATATCAATCAATTCTGATTGAACTGTTTATCTTTCATTGTATTACATATTTGATTTCATTTTATTTTTTTTTTGTTTCCCTCTATAAACATTGTATGTTTCTTGGGATCAATGAGAGTTATTATTATTATTTCCATCTCGTTGCAGGAACGTGGGCTCCACCAAATGCCTGGACACGTCGGGGCACGGCCCTCCGGCCCTGATGGGCGTGCAGCACTGCCACGGCTACGGCAACAACCAGCTGATGCGGCTCAACGCCAAAGGGCAGCTGGGCGTGGGCGAGCGCTGCGTCGAGGCTGACGGGCAGGGCGTCAAGCTGGCCTTCTGTCGATTAGGTACGATCTAAGGTCACAGACTAAATAACAATTTATAGAAAAAAATCTTCAGAAAGTGTACGACAACAATCCTAAATGTCAAACAGGGATGGATAAATTAAATCGCGAATGGTGGGGATAATAACAGACAATGATCATGGCGAAAGCTATCAACATCGAGCTCATGGAATACCTGGGACATTCAGGTATCATCAACGATAGGCAATATGGCTTCCGTCATCAGAGATCAACTGGGGTGACCTGCTCGCTTACGTTCCACATATATGGCAGCAATCTATTGAGAAATATGGTGAAACCTTAGCCGTGGCACTTGATATCTCCAAAGTATTTGATTGAGTCTGGCACCACGGACTCCCCGCCAAGCTTCCATCTTATGGCTTGCCTCCCCGGCTATGTTCTCTGCTAGCTAGTTTTCTCTCAAACAGGTCTCTCCATGTAGTTTTCGACGGAGTTCAATCTGACTCTCCTACCATAAATGCTGGTGTTCCGCAAGGATCTATTCTAGCACCAACACTATTTCTACTCCATATCAACCATTTGTTGGAAGAAACTTTCATGCCCAGTACACAGCTTCGCGGATGATAGTACCCTCCATACCGCCTTCTCTTCCAGGGCTCCAATACCAGCCAGGCAAATCATAAACGAACGAGGGAGAAATGTTGACAACATAAATATAGTAGCAACAATTCTCGAATGGGGATCCAATAACTTGGTAGGGTTCAATGCAAACAAAACAAGAATGCCTTTTCTCTAGAAAAGTCGATCTCACTGTGCCAAACATAAGACTGTCAGGAATAACCATACCTTTGAAGACATCCATTTTGATAGTTGGTAAATCAGCTTTCTTGGGAAAATCACGTGAGCTCAATTGCTAAAAGTGCATCCCAAAAACTTCGTTTTCTGCTTCGGGCCAGGAGCTATTTCACTTTCAGTCAGCTGCTTATGATCTATAAGGCACAGATCCGACCTGTCCTGGAATACTGTTCCCATATTTGGAGTGCAGCGCCCAAACATACCCTGAAACTGTTGAATTCTGTCAAAAAAAGGGCAATTCGTCTCGTGGGTGATGCCTCGCTCACAAAACCACTCACTTCTTTGGAACACCGTAGGAAAGTTGGCGATCTTGCTCTATTTTATAGAGATTTTCATGGACGATGCTCTTCTGAAATATCAACAATTGTACCTCCCCTGGCAGTTCCCGCGAGATTTACCCGTCGAGTTGAGGCTTCGCACCCCTTCGTGGTCACTTTGGAGACCTGCAGAACATCTCTTTCCAAAGACTCGTTCATCCAACGAACAGCGAGGCTCTGGAACACATTGCCAAGGGTGGTGTCCCCTGAGGCAAATAACTTCCAGAAAAATACCAATTCCTACCTTATTTCCCATGGTTCTCACGATGTTCTCTGAACATTACAGGATATCTGTTTTCGTGGGAACCAGAACATGAAAGAAAAATTGTTTCCTTCTAACTCGCATGTGTCAGACAAAGGTAAATATATACTCAGTGGTGAATCACCCTACCAGTTCCTGCCAATGGAATTAGCTATTAACACCAATAGATTCGCCAAAATAATATCACTGGAATGCAGAAGGAACCTTGAAAATGGTCGATTCTGATTGGTTCTCGAAAACAAGAGTGGAATAGTCAGTACAATACCAAATGATTGGCTAGAATTACGCATTGCTATCGGTTGAAACACCGAAAACGTCACATTTTGACAAGTGAAAAAAATAATCGTAGGTAATATCCCAAGACAATGACAAATAGCCGACTATTATTTTCTTCATAATTCTATCGAGAGTACCTTGTATTTTGACAATTCATATGGTCTCATCGAATTGTCCTAAAATACAAGTTACTCGAGATGAATTGAAGAAAATAATAGTCTCCATTTGTCATGGTCGAGTGATATTCAGGAAGATCATTTCATGAACAGTGTAAAAATACTGGTATATATGAGTTTCAACATTTCATTCAGGTTACAATTCTGCAGATACTATTTGAATAAAAATTCTTCTGAAGGCCGTCTGGGGTATTCTCATCATATCTACGTACAATTTTAATCAATTCATCTAAAATTAGAGCAAAGGAAGAATATTAACGATATCGATTCGCTTACATAATTTCGAATTTCCGTAGTGGAAGCTGACCCAAAACGAGATATTTCAATTTTTGAGTGACTGATAGGTATGTCAAAAGTTTGACAACCATAGCACTCTTATGCTGGCAAACAGAATAGCCGCTCATATTGTTTGTTTACCTGAATAGCCGCTGATATCGCATATCATGTGACTTCAATCATGACATTTCATAGGACCTGCCGGGTGTGAATGAAATAATCATTATTATTATTGAATTGAAGGTACGAATGACGGCCCCTGGCTGTACGACGAGAACACGCACACGATCCTACACAGGGTGCACGAGAAGTGCATGGCACTGCATCCACAGACCGCGCACCTGTCGCTGATGCTCTGCGACATCAACAACGCCTACCAGCAGTGGCTGTTCAAGGAGATTCGGCCGAAAGTTTAGTGAAAAAGTTAAAGAACGTGGAATTTGAACACTTGATAGACTGTTTTTCTAGATTTTTTTCTAGCGGGCTGCGTTTATAAACTTGCTCCCTGTCAGTCAAGTTAAAGTATGGGGACCTGATGACCTGATTAGAACTAAATCGTCAGAGGTTACTCAAAGTAGTCGTTCAAAAACTCTCATGTTAAGGTATGCAAAATAACATGCTCATCAAGTTGATTTTTTGTTGTTGTAATATTCTAATAGTTCTCGGGATGTCAGTAATTCCAGTTGGCAGTTACTGAAAAGAAAAACGATAGTTAAGATAGGAAAATATTGAAATGAAGTAGCTATACTATATTTGAATACTAATATTTTATTAGCAAACTTGAGGTCCATTTTACCCATATGAAAGTAGGTTTCATATGAAATCGATTAGATATTGATACAAAACAAGAATAATCAAATATGAACAAAACTTGACATCAATATGTGTCAATATCCAATATTCAAATTCTCATTCCTCTGTATAGTTTATGAGAATAAATTCAACTGATTGAACACATATACGATCATATTCATAGTTCAAAAAATATTCCTGAAGATATAGTTTTGGCTCCTCCACCATTCTCATGACGTAATAATTAGAAAAGGCACAGCTAAAAATGTGAGTCGTTTTTCGCCAGTACAGCGTTACAAGATTTATTGATCAATCTAATGATTCGGGTAGGTACCTAAAATGACGTATTCAACAAATAGTATGTGTGAAAATTGGTTTATTTCTTGAAATTTCATAGGGAATACCTGATGAAATGGAAATGAGTGAGTGGACTGATGATTATTTATTGACATTGATTTACTCTATCAGGAACCTAAATTAATTTTTGCAACATTGCTCACGCTTTTTTATGAAAATAATGAGTCATATATATGCGTTGTTTGAAATTGATTGATTGTCTTTATTACCCCAAGAAACATTTCTGTTTATGATAGGGATACATAAATACATATAAAAAAATAACAAACGAACACTCATGGCCGCCATTTGGCAATACGTCAAATAAATTTTGGACGTCAGTTTTTATGGTGTTTCGTTATTGGTCAGATAATCTTCCATTTCTTCCAATGAAGCAAGGTTTTGAAGTCATCAATTATAATCAAGATATCAAAAAGATGTTAGAGTCCTGTCATTGAATAAAACATAATAGCAGTATCCCATGATGATGATGACGAATCGTAAATATTAGACAAAGGAAGGAAGGAATGCTCAGAGTTGTTTCCACAAATATTGAGCAATCCTTCCTTCCTTTGATAAATTTCCACTCTACTTTGAGCAATATGGACTTCTACCAAAGATAGAATAGCATGACAGCTCGTTTTTGAGGTTGATCATTTTAATTTGAATTACTGTTGAATGGTTGAAGTGATATTTCAATTTCTCCAAGAAATTGATGACTCAAGTCTGGCAACAGTGGTTGTAAATCAGATTCACACCATACTGAGATGTATTTTGTTTAAATTTTTTTGTTGAAGGTTTGAGGTTAGACCATGTGGACAGCTTTCTTCTTATTCTTATTTTCGGGTTCGTAGGCGTGAAGGAAATAATTCAAGAAACTTATCAAAGACAAATATCCCCAAGTGTCACTAGATCTATGTAGTACATCATAGTCTGCTTCATTAATAATTCTATAATACTATTCTATAATAATGTCAGAGTACCTACATCATTAGTCTGTTCAAATACAGGGTAAGCAGAGCTTACTCAAGGTGAGTTTATGAACTTCTAGAGTAAGTTTATGAATGCTTTGGAGTAAGCAATCCTTTCTCAGAGCAAGTGTATGAACGCAACCCTAACATACAGACAGTACTTGATATATACTGCGGTTGAACATCGAAACATGACTTGCACAGTAAATGTCTTGTTATGTTTTTGGGGTTAGTTTGTAGTGGTCTCGCTTATAACGTCCTATATAAAAGAAACTTCCAGTCTTGATTGATTGTTTTTATTACCCCAAGAAATATATCTGTTTATAATGGGGTTACATATGAACACATATGAAAAAATGATAATATTAAAAGGTTAACTAATGAATTCCACTCAGTGGGAACAAAATCATTCTTTTTCTCAGGATGAAAGTTATAACATTTCAATTCTGAGTAATCAAATCATGTCAAATATTTTTCAATCAAATTGTTCTGACCACGTATTGTTTAAGATTGACCTCAAATCTTCTTACAGTATGTATATTTTTCAATTCATTCAAAATTATTTCATTATGAAATATAGATTCTTTGGCAATGTTCCACTAGAATGTATTTGCTATCAAGTAATTCAATTGTCTAGTCCCATAAGTATGGACTGTATATATTGACTTCATTAAAAGCTAAGTTTGAGATTTTGACAAAATGAATAAAACAACATAATATTTTGAGTTTATATAACGAAATCAGATTTAGTAATTTTCTAGGCTTGTTCAAATTTACTGTTGGTTCTAGAAAATTTAGATGAAGAATGTATCTCATCTTCTCATGTCGCCAGGTATTCAAAGATTTGGCATTCAAATGTTTAGTGCTTCAATTTCTCAGATGCTTCTCACTGGTCATACATATTCTTAGAGTTCTGTGATATTGTAATAATTCAGAATTGTTCGCCTATTGGCAAAACAAATTTATTAAATTGATCAATAATATAGGCCTTGAAACAGCTTGATTCAATAAAACCACAATATTGAGAAACACATTTAGGGCATAAATTATCTTTGAATAGCAAATCGCTAGAGCCATTACTTTCTTTTTTCCCTTCAACAAATTAATATTTTGATTCTGAGGAATGCTCACTGAAGTGGTACCAACTTTCCGACCATATTCTAGAGTTGAAACTGGTTGGCAGTTACACTTTGCCTTTTCGATATATAGATACGTACTGTATCCATATCTGTTCGAAAACAGTCCTTTAATTATTATCATTATCATTGTATTATTTACAAAGCATTGTGAGAATGAAGATATGGGTTATGGTGTTATGGTATTGTTGTTAGGGTTACTGCAGTGAAAAACGCTGAATAATTATAACTCTTTTTAATTTCATTATTTGGAATGCCATATTTGTCTACTTATTTTTGACACACACTGATGTCTAAATGTTACCAACCTTGTAAAAAATAAGGTGCCAATACGCATTTGAATTTTATAATCAGGTAATTGAAGATTGAACTCAAAACACATGGCTGGATCCTTCTACTATACATAATGTTTTAAAATTAAATATTCACTTGATGATAATAATATGTATGTACGTTATATGCGAGAACACTAATATAATATTATGATGATAATTAATTTTGTTACAGTGCAAAAATGAAAAGGTCTTCCTAGTTGTGATTAGTAGCAACTTTCATATTTATTATCAAGATCAATTTTTTTGTTACAAGCCTATGTAGTTGTGTATAGTCAAAAAACTGATAGATTCAGGGTGGAATAAATTGGTTCCTGGAACCCTAGAAACAGAGATACCGAATATCGAATTGGAGCAGAGTTTTGATAAAAAATTGACCAAAATGTTCATTTTTTCGTTTGTTTCGTTCGATTCTTTTGATTTTTGTTAGTTTTCAGATTCAGGAAATGAGGAACTATAGTGTCATATATAAATTATTAAAAAACTTGATTATCTGTTCAGAGAATTGTCGAGTCGAATTCTTTTTTACCCTGTCTAAAAGGACAATACAAACGTAATATAAAAAACAAACTTAATTTCCAAGGAATTAACATTCACATTTTTTTATTTTCTATGTTGTTGAAGTTCAGTTCCTTATCATTAAAATTTGCTCATGGATTCAAGGCGAAATTGTAAATAAAGCAGGGTAATCTCTACTGATTATTGTAGCTATTTTAGTTCCAGGGTCATGCTTTACATTTTTTGATATCATTTATTCTGGTGACTATTTTTGTATCATAATTATTTATTAAACTGATTGAAATTTTACTACTGCATTTTCAAATAATACCTCATATACATATTCCAACTAGGTAAATAAAATTTCATACTCAAATATCAACTTTGTGATACATAGGTATTGTTGAATTCAGTAAAAATAGCTGAACAATACGACTTTGACCAAAACTCGTGCGTCTATATACAGGGTGTATCTAATAAACACCGAAAAAATTCAAGGGGTGATTCCTGGAAGTTCATATAAACATGTATCCTAATTGGCTTCGTTTTCGAGATACAGGGTATTAATATTTCCATGAAAAATATTTTTTCTATTCATTTCTCAATTGTCTTTTCATCATTTTAATTGAAACGTTGATGTGGTTTTATTAATAGTAATATGGAGCTTCTTCTAGTGCAAATAGATTCGAAATAATATTTCCAGTGGCGTCACAGTGGGTTTTATCGATATTCATGGTGAATGTCATTGTACATCCTCGGTTTTTCATATGTTTGATCGGAAGTTGACCGAACTTTTTTTCAAATATGGCATCCTGTTTATTTCTGTACCATTTCTTATTCGCCTTAAAATTCTCTATTCAACTATGTATCACAATTTTATAAGCAAAATGATACTGAAAATACACTAATGTAGACTTATGAACAGATGTATTACCCAGCCAGCAGGATGACGTCAAATGGGCGTGTGCACCTTAGTAGAACTTTCAACTCAAACCATGTTTATAATGACCCTTTCATACATAAATAATGATTGATGACATAATTCGATCGAAAAATTAACTGGCATGTTTCATTTTTGGACATAAATAATAGTACCTTCTGAAAACGGACTCTCTTATGACGTAGACACCTCATCTCGCCATAGTTAGAAGAAAATACCGAAAGCCCGACGGAGACTGAGGCAACTGATATATTAATTCTTTCAACTGATCTCGCGCTTATTCACTCTGTCAGAAATCATGTATCATTCATCTCTGTCTGGAATAGTCTTGTTTCAGTATTAGGGTTTTGACGTCACATCATCGCCTCGCTTTCTCACAGGTCCGAAAAATCGGGGATTTCAATAATTTTT